AAATTCACCCGCGCCGTCGAGCTCATGCGTGCCCTCCCCGACTCCGACCCCCGCAGCTTCCGCCAGCAGGCCAACGTCCACTGCGCCTACTGCGACGGCGCCTACGACCAAACCAACCTCCCAGACCTCGAGCTCCAAGTCCACAACTCCTGGCTCTTCTTCCCCTGGCACCGCTGGTACATCTACTTCTTCGAACGCATCCTCGGTAAACTCATCGATGACTCGAATTTCGCCATTCCTTACTGGAACTGGGACTCCCCCGCCGGCATGTCCATCCCACTCATGTACACCGACCCCACCTCCGCCCTCTACGACCCGCTCCGCGACCCGACCCACCAACCACCAACCACAGTCAACCTCAACTTCAGCAGTCCGGGCGAGACAGCAGTCAGCCCGGACCAGCTTATCCGCCGCAACCTCACCGTCATGTACCGACAGATGGTTTCGAACGCGAAAACCCCGCGCCTCTTCTTCGGAAGCCCGTACCGCCGCGGCGACGAACCGAACCCTGGCGGCGGGTCGATCGAGAACAGTCCGCACGGCCCGGTTCACGGATGGACCGGCGACTCGTCGCAACCTAACTTCGAAAACATGGGGAACTTCTACTCGGCCGCGCGCGACCCGATTTTCTACGGACACCACGCGAACATCGACCGGATGTGGACGATTTGGAAGACGCTCGGCGGGAGGAGAAAGGATATATCCGACCCGGATTACTTAAACGCGTCATTCGTGTTTTACGACGAAAACGCGCAGATGGTTAGGGTTAGGGTTAGGGACTGTCTGGACGAGGCCCAACTAGGGTATGCGTACCAGGACGTGGACGTGCCCTGGCTGAACACGAAGCCGCAGCCTAGGGTTTCGACTGCTGTCCGTAAGCTGAAGAAGCTCGGGAGAGCTAAGGCTGCGGACACTCGTGACGCGAAGGAAGTGTTGCCGGGGAAGCTTGGGCAGGGTTTGAAAGTGATGGTGAAGAGGCCGAAGAAGAAGAGGAGCAGGAAGGAAAAGGAGGAGGCGGAGGAGGTTTTGGTGATCGAGGGGATCGAGTTGGATAGGGACGTATATGCGAAGTTTGATGTTTATATTAATGACGAGGATGACGAGATTAGCACGCCGGAGAATACGGAGTTTGCCGGGAGCTTTGTGAACGTGCCTCACAAGAATAAGAAGGGGAAGAAGATTAAGACGCAGCTGAGGCTGGCGATTGGGGATATTATGGAGGAGCTTGATGCGGACGATGACGAACACGTGCTGGTGACTTTGGTGCCGAGTAACGCGTGTGAGTCGGTCACCATTGGTGGGATCAAGATCGTGCTCGATGATTGATGTGATGGTGATGGGCAATTGATCGATCGGGGTCGTGTTGCGAACTAATAATCGTTTTCTTCA